GCTCACCAGCTGCTTCTTGGAAACCCTATACAGGGTCGCTGTGGGTCGGAGTCGACTCAATGGCATTTAACAACAACAACAACAACAAATCTTTTGGAAGTAGATCATCGGGCCTTTCTTCTGAGGTGCTTCAGTTAGTAGCTAAGAACCAATTTTCATCTAAGCACTTAACTATTTGTGTCCCCCAGGGATTCTACCATAGGGTTACCTAACATACAAACATATTTGGCAAAACCGTGGGACTCTAGGGACAGAGGGTGCCATGAGAAGCCAGTTTAGTAGCCCTGTATGATCCGGGCTGGCCTCTACTAGCTGCCAATTCAGTAAAGGAATTTCCAGACTTCACGAACTACATTTGCCTGAAACACTCATATCATTGTAATCCTCTCAACCTGTTAGAGTTGTTTAATAGTGGAAAACCATTTATTCAGCTTATTGAAAATTAATTGCTTACACTGCTTAGGTTTGCAAGAGGAAGATGAAAAGGCAATAGAGAGGCAGCAAGGGAGATAAAGCCTGTCCACACATTCTTTTTTCTTCTCTTTGTAATGCCCAAAGAGCCTATATATTGAGGCATAGGAAGGATTGGAAAATCTATTCATTTTGCATATCATTGCATCTCAAAATGATGGTTCCCCAACATTTTGGGAAAGTCTTCACTCTCTCCCTCAACTTTCTATTTATTTCACTGTGCCAAAATTTTAAGTAAACAATCGTGGAAAATGGGAATGTTTCAGACTGGAGAGTAAATTAGAGAATAAAATACATTAATAAATGAAAAGTCTGCCATTCAGAATCTTTTTGCTTTCCCTTGAGCTGGCATGTTGTATGTTGTGTAAATCCATTATTGAGAATGATGTGTGGTTCTGGTTAATGAAACCGGAGGGAGAAGAAACAAATATTGTATTAGTCAGAGGACAGTTGAGTGAAGGGACAAGTCTGATGATCAGGCTTTTAGCTAGTATATTTTTAAAAGTGGAATAAATATCTAATTTTTATTGTTGTTGTTAAGTGTTGTTGAGTTGGTTCTGGATCATAGGTTCCCACTATTCTGTCCAAGACCCTCTTGGACCCAGTAGGACTGCCCCACAGGGTTTCCAAGGCTGTAATCTTTATGGAGTACTGGAGAGGTGCTGTAGGATAAGCACTGGACCTCAAGGTCAGTGGTTCAAACTCACCAGCTGCTCCTCGGAAACCCTGTACTCAGCCTCTATGAGTCAGAGCTGATTGGGCGACACTTAACAATCTTTATGGAAGCAGACTGACACATCTTTCTCCTGTGAAGCAGCTATTGGGTTTGAACCACTGACCTTCCAGTTAGCAAGTGAATGCTTAATCATTGCACTACCAGGGCTCCTTTAGAATACATATCCCCAAACCAATCCCACTGCCACTGAGTCAATTCCAACTAATAGCAACCTCATGTAAGGTTTCAGAGACTGTGATCTTTATGGGAGTAGGCAGCCTCATCCTTCTCTAGTGGGGCCATTGGTGGGTTGGAATCGCCAACCTTGCAGTTAGCAGCAGTCCAATGCCTAACTCACAGAGCCATCAGTGCTCCTTTTAGAATACATTGTTGTTGTTTTTATTAAGTGCCATTGAGGCAGTTCTGAGTCATGGCGGCTCTGTACAGGGTTTCCGAGGAGTACAGTTAGCAGTGCAGTGCTTATCCTACAGAGCCACACATAGTTCTCCTTGATTTTGCCTGTATATAGCATACATAAAATATTGTTTTGTCTAATAGTGCATGTTGTTGGTGTTCAGTGCTGTCAAGTCAGTTCTTACCCATAGTGACCCTGTATAGGGTTTCCAAGGAACGGCTAGTGAGCTTGAACTGTAAACCTTGCAGTTCATACCAACTTTGCAGTCTGGAACATTAACCCACAGTGTCACACCAGGACTCCAAGAGAACATATGACTCCTTGTAGTCAGGGGTATAGGGGGACTGAGATTATACTATGGCTGTCCTGGTGTCGAGTTGTGGGTTAATGCGCCAGACTGCAAAGCCGTTTGAACCACAAGGTCAGTGGTTCAAGCTCACGAGTCGCTCCTTGGAAACCCTATACAGGGTCGCTATGGGTCAGAATTGACTTGATGACACTTAAAAACAACAACATACTATGGATAAAGAAAATCCACAGAAATTCAAAAATTTGACTTTGTGCTACAGGTTTAGCTCCTTTCCTCACATGGAAAGCAACTAAAAGGGCAAATAGTATATTCATATTTGGTTTTGTCTTTCTGTTTTTTGTGTACAGAAGTTATAAAAGCCCAGCATTAGAGGACTAAGTGTTCTGGTCATGCTATGAATAATTGTTGGATGCACTGTGTGCTATTTAAGACTTATGCTTGTGCTGCTAGGAAAAGATAGTCTTAAAAAAAAGGACACGTTTAGGAGAGACACCATGGTTTTCTTTAAGAACTTTCAAAGCTTCAAATACAACGGTACTAACATATGTTTTGAAGCACATCTTGGATGGGAATTAGCTCAGCTTCACTTGATTTCTTCAGACTATCACCCAAATTCATTTTCTGCTATTTTTCAATAAGTAATTAAAAAAGAATCTCTCCTGAGTTTATCTGGTCTGCTATTGTAGGCCATTTGCTAGCAACTCAAAGTTCTCAATTAGCTCCAGTGTTGTTATAATTACTGGATGTGTTTTCAAACAACTCCCAGCTAATAGCTGTTGGGATGAAGAGTCATTTTCTTACTATAGACTAGACTGTGCACGCTCCTGCTTGCTGTACTGTTTTGACAATGATTCATTAACCAATAATAAGGCCCCAATTGGAATCATTAGACATCAATGTCTTTCCTGGGCCGACATTTTATTTTCTCCCTCAACATTGTTTTTTCTTGACTTCAGTTTCTGGCTGACTCCCAAGACACTCCTTATGATACAAAACAATATCCTGAAGACAGCTGTTATTAAATTCAGATACTTGTAGCCAAGCTCTCGCTAAGCGTATCTGTTAGAAATTTGAGATGGACAAAAACGTGTCATAAATAAGAGACGTGGGTTAAAGGCCGTTTATTTGTACCAGCTTATTGAAATCAGGCACTATGACTTTCACTGTCATATCTAACATCTGGTCTATCATCATATCATTTAAGCTGACATTTCTCTGCTTTACAATAGGCAGACTGTTTTTACTTCTGAGTAACTGTAACAGAAATGCTATAAAATCAGCCACTGGTTCTTTTGGGTCTGTAAAAGGTCAATACTGTCATGAGAACAATTTACTTTAAAGGAGCCAAAAGGTGTTTGTAACTCAACGTTTTTGCAAAATCTTTGCCTTATCATGGTGGCTTAGTGACATTCTGTTAAACCTTATTGTGAGTTATGTTGGAGCTGAATGAAGGCCCATTTTCATCCCTTCTGTGATTTCAACACACACTTCCACCAAATACATTTCTCTAGTCAGTCATTTTAGATGCTATGTGGCACTTTCAATATTTGTGTACAAAGAATTTTGATGTTTGTGACTCTTATGTACTGGATGGTAAAGACTTGGGAGCAAGAATCCTGTGAAGTATTGTTTGACATCAACTGAATCAGCTAATCTTCTTTAGCTGAGCTATGTGGGTTCTTGATAGAATATGTGAAATTGCTTCAAGGATTTAGCAATGCTTAGGTGAAAGGAGAAATGGCTATGAAAAGTTTTTAAAAATGTTCCTGGGAAACTAAGTTTGTTTCTTTTATTGACCAACATCTATGTTTGTATTGTTTTAGGTGTTTTTTACAACTTTATCAATGTATGAAATCGTCTTTGGAGGTAGGAAGTTGCCAGATCGTACCAGGGTGGGTTGGGGGTTGGGGAGCTTCAGAGAGGTTGTGGAAAAATGGAATTGCAAAATACTGGAATTTTTTTCCCAGTAAGCTTTTTGAAGCCCACTTGTACACTTTTTGAAAAGTTATGTAGTAATGAGTATTTCTAAAGATTGGACTCAGTGGTAGATATTCAGGTCCAACAATGAAGTTCATAATAACTGGATGCTCTTTGCCTCACCCAGAGCAGCCTCTTTCAACAAGCATGTACTGTCCTTGGGGTTGAAAGCCCGGGGGGTTTTAGATCTGTTACTCTATAAATAGGGGGGACTGATCTATCACATATGCTTTCTTGACTCGTCACCTTTTTCTGAAAAAATGGACAGTTTGAGCAAGTGCACTCTTTCCAAGCTCTAAATTCTTTAAGACATGCAAATAGAAATAGAATATTAAAAAAAAAAAGGTTACCCAAAGCCCTTTAAATATGAAAACAGGGTGATGCTTCTGCATGCATTATTTTATTTCCCAGGCTAAGTTCAAATTTAAGGCCGTTTAGGGGAAAAATAAAATGAATGGGAGTTCCTCATCCCACCTCAGGCTGATAGAAACATCTCCACTGGTGTTGACTTTGAAGGCTCCTCTTCTTTAGTAAAGAGATTGTAGGAGCAGTTTGAGCTGTGACTTTCTGGAACTAACTCCTCAGAGCAGTTTTTCAAATACCATTGACGTATGCTTTTAATTATTTTTAGATATTTGTTATCTTTCCAGACTCTCAACTTTCACTACTTTCAGTTTTAAAAGAAAGCCACGTAAAAGCAGCGTTTATATGACATCACGGTATATGTAAAAGGCATGGAACAGCGGAGTCAGTCTCTAGGTCGTTCCTTAGGTTCAAGAGAAACACAAGTAGATTTGTTTATTTCTAGGTAATTCATGGTTTTCCTTTTGCTAAGGAAGAATACAGTGAGTTTAAGAAATCAAAATGTCCAACATAAACCAAAAGGCTTTATTCTCTGGTTCTTACTCAGTCCCAATTTGAATTGATTTGAAAATAAATAATTACAAATTGCTTTCTCTCTAGAAAGTAGTAATATGATACCATATAAAAGGGCCCCATGTTTTAAATCTTGCATAAAGCAAACGTAGAGTGCAGTTTGCCAGACAGGTTGGATGGACTCTCTCTCCTCCATGACCATTCCAGGGGTGTGTTTGGTCTTCCACAGAAGCCATCTAGACGATGTGAAGGACTTTGAAAGCGGCCACAGTCTGTTTTTCTCTTTCATGTCTGCTCTGGAGCATTTCCAACAGCGGGATTTCAGGGAAATGTTCTTCCTTTCCAGTATAGACTGGATTTTTTATTTCTTTTGATGCTCGATCAGTCAAATTTAACGATTTGGGTTTGGGGATGGTCTTAGCATATTCCAAAGCCTAAAAGCATAAAGGTAAAATTTTATTTGAAATGAGAAATGAGCCTGGGATTTCTTAAATTAAGTCTCATCTTAGGAAATGCTTATTTATAATATAAATGGAGATTACTGCTACAATTACTTACCTAAGCTATGGATGGAAATAGAGATCAAATGAAAAATGCAAATAGTGTAATGTTTAAACAAAATAAACAAAATAAACTAGCTATAAACAATATGCTGTGGGGAAAAAAAAGTTGAAGAATTGTACATACTGTTGTATGCTTGGGATATTCATAAAACTGAGTTTCCTTCAAGCGTTTAGAAATAGATGGTCTAATACATTTTAATATTTAGTTTTTGCCAGTCTTATTCAAACCAAACTTCTATTAAAGAGACAGCAAGAGGTTGGTTTTTTTTCCCCCATCCAAAAAGGACTTGTTACATACAGCTTGCAGCCAGAGACATTGCTGTGGTTGATATAAAATTGAGTCTCCATTATATCAATTATTCTTGTTCCTAGGCTCATAGAACTCGAGAAATTATCAGGGTTTGAAATTGCTTTTTTCTTATCTTTCGAATAGCTATAGAAACTTACATGCTGACAAAAGACAATCCTTCTCGCTCTCTCTGTCTGTGTGTGAGAACAGTTGTGAAACAGTAAGATATGAGATGACCAAATAATATTTCAAAATCAACCCAAATCAGTTTTGTCATCCAGTAAGAGTTTCTTGACTGCCGAAATATGGTGGGACAGTATATTTAGATCCTGGAAGGAGGACAACCTCTAAAACATAAAAAAACAACAACTATACTTCCCTAGTGTATGTAAGCAGTTTATAGATGATAACTTTGTTGATTATAAATTTGTTGCCTTGACTTTCTTCATGACAAAATCATGGACTTGGAGGAAAAGAAAAAGTGGTATATGAAAACACAATCAAGTGGATTGAGGTCATCAAGTTCTGCGGAAGAAAGGCAATAAATAGAAAATACGGTGGTCTCTGAAAGAGCACATGAAGTACAAATTCCTAAAAGCACCAAATGATCACTTGTCCCTCAAGCAAAGGGTCCCACGTCCTCACTGGGATTGGACAGATTGATTGACTCAGAGGTGGTACTACACTGCTCTGTGGCTCCATCAGATATATTTTATTAACATAACAACTTGTAGTTGGATGTCATCCAAGAGAGGGAATATTCTGTATTTTATGAAATCACTTTTCTTAAACAGAAGCTAGTTGGCTCTGAACTGACTCCAGCTCCTAAGGAGCCCCATGCATATCAGAGCAGAGCTGTGCTCCATGGGGTTTTCAGTGGCTGATATTTTAAAAGTAGACCATCAGGCCTTTTATTTCTGTGATTTGGACTGCCAACCTTTTGGTTAACAGCCGAGTGTGTTGCCTATTTGTACTACCCAGGGATGCTTTCTTGGAATGAACTCGAAAGAACTTTTCTTTTGACATGTTGTTAAGTGCCATCGAGTCGGTTCTGACTGATAGTGACCCTGTATAGGATTCCCAAGGAATGGCTGGTGGGTTTGAACTGTTGATCAGTGGATGTCAGTCTAGTGCTTATCCTACAGCTCATTGATTTCCTCAAAAACGTATATAATGATAGAGAATAAAATTGGTAGTTAATCAGGATTGCTCATGTTTTCTCAGAAATCACTTTACTGTTTATCTTTTATGGTTGACAAATTTAGAAGACTATACTTGGAAGAAAACACACGTAGGATTAAAAACAATGTACTTCAGTATAAGGAGTCCTGGTGTTAATGCGCCAGACTGCAAAGCCGTTTGAACTGCAAGGTTGGTGGTTCAAGCTCACCAGCTGCTCTTTGGAAACCTTATACAGGGTCGCTATGGGTCGGAACTGACTCGATGGCACTTAACAACAACAACAACTTCAGAATAAAATGGCTACTCTTACAGCATCACTGTTCATGCCCCTATGACACTATGACACCAGTATCTGTGAGTGATGTATAGCTGCAGGAATCTGTCACGTTAAAGAAATGTGGGGAATTTATTTTGCTATAATATAACAGAAGTTTCCTTTTCTGTTAATTCTGATTGAAAAGAGAATCATACTGGCTACCTTTTAGCCAAAACAAGAGCCAGGCCTATAAAGTGAGACCAGTAACATTCTGAGGAACATACTCCTCAGAACAATCAACCATGGGGAGCAGTTGCCCAAAAACAAAGCTCAGAAGGCAGGAAGGGGCAGTAATGAAGGACAATGGAAAGCAAGAATCCCAGGGAAGAAGTGTGAAGAGTGTTGCTACATTGAAGCAATTGCGACTGTTGTCACAAAACAAAATGTTCATAAAGTGTTGAATGGAAAACTAATTTGCCATATGCTTTCTGTAGATTTTCACCCAAATCACAATAAAAATAAAAAAAAAAAAACCAAAAAAACAAGAAATACAGGCCGTTCCTGGATTACAAATGTCCAATGAACAGATAACTCATACTCATCCTTTGTTAGTGATATTAAGTGCTGTCGAATGGGTTCCAACTCATAGCGACTCTGCTGTTTAGGGTTTCCAAGGATCAGCTGGTAGGTTTGAAGAGTCCACCTTGGGGTTCAGTGCTTATCCTACAATGCTACACCAGCCCTCACTTTGAAACAATAACTTTTCATCACAATCCACCGTCCTTTGCTGCACGTGTACCTTTTATATCATCATAAATAAAACTTTTGAGCTTTTTCTTGCACGAAAGTAAGGTTAAGTCAGAACCATATGCACCTGTTCCTGACTTACATACAAATTCAACCTAAAGACACACTGAGGAATGGGTCTCATTCATAACCCAGGAATACCTTTATACCTTTATGGGAATTTCTTACCTTCTGCCGAGGGACGACAGATTTCATCTCAGTTTTTGCTGTTTGAGGTTTTGAAAGAATGGACAGCGTCTTCATGTTGTAGTCCTTAACTTGTTTTGCATATTCCTTTTGCTGTATTAATTTTTGCATCTGTTTGGAGAAATAAAAGTAGGATGAACCAGAGGTCTTGCTAGAACTCTCTGCTATTTAAAGTGACCCTCAGTGAGTCAGGAGTAGTCTATCAGCAGCACAGGAGAAGGGTGTTTGCAGTGAAATGGTTAAGTGAATGTTTCTCCTAGTAACAGTCTCTCTCTGAGGAGGAGCAGCCCTGAATAGCACACCACTCGGTGTTCCCTTAATAGTGGCTAAATCACATTCAGCCCCTTCTTTGTTGCATTTACCCAATTTATTTTCATTTTTGCTTCCTACTTTGAACTATACTCTCTTTTTATGCCTTGAGTGCAACTGCAGTTAAAACACATTAAATGAAGATCTTCTTTCAGTGAAGGGATGAGAATAAAGTGATGCACTTTTCAGGGGTTGGGAAACTCTTATCCTGAGTGTCTTCTCTGCAGCCACTCTTCACAATTATCAAGATAACTCCATCGGGAAAGACCAACAACCACATAATCTACACGTCTCTTTTCTAGTGCACGTGTCCCACTTTTCTGCTCAGACCTTCCAAACCAAGAGGTGGATACAAAAAAAATGGCCAGGTATTTTTATTTTGTGGAAAAAGGTGTGTTCAGGTCTTTGGCCAGGTATTTTTATTTTGTGGAAAAAGGTGTGTTCAGGTCTCTATTACCAAAACTATTTCAGAGAGGTCTCTACTCAGAGAGAGGCATTTGAATTAGGACTTGGCATTGAGGGCCATCTTTACAGAGTCTTGCTAAAAGGCAGATAGGCAGAGTCCAAGGCTGACACCACGTATGCATCACACTCACTTTGTCTCTGATGGACTCAAAGTCGGGTCCCAGGCCTCCAAGCTTCACGTCTCTTTTCTGATAGCCTTTCAGCTTGGAACTCTAAACATACAAGTACAGAGACAGTTTCTTTTAAGTGCTTGTACGTCCTCTCGATTTGCCATAGCCATGAAAGAAAGAGGGAAGAAGCAAAATGACGAACGGGAAGACTTTGTTGGGAGTGTGAAGGCAAATCACCAAAATGCTTCCATTTCAGTGGGTTTGTTTGTTAAGTGCCGTTGAGTCGGTTATGATGCACAGCAACCCTGTATAGGGCTTCCGTGGAGTGGCTGGTGAGTTTGAACCTCCGACCTTGTAGTTCAAAGTGACCTTGAGGTTGAGTGCTTATCCTATTATGGTGCCACACTCTTTGGTGGCTTGTAGCCGGTTTGCTCACAAGTTTTAACTTTTCTACTTCTGCAATAAAAAACATCTGAACTCCTGAAAATGATAAATAAAAGATTTCAAGCTAGCAAAGTACCATTTTAGTAGTAATATTCTTTTAATGTGACACATACATTGCCTGCCTTTTTGCCACTGTTGCTGTAACTCTTTCGTTCAGTGTTGTACAGTTCGCTAAACCAAATGTTTCCCCTGGAAGAGGCAATCTACGTTAATTAAGCAAGCGCATCACTTCAAAAGGAGTGTGTTTTGCTGCTATCATGTCCATTAGCTACAGTATCGGATGGAAGCGAAGAAGGTGGCAACTTCTAAAATTTTATTATCGACAGTTGGAAAAAAAAAATCATTTAAAAGGGAAAAAAACCCAACTATTTATAATCCATGTACAATGTACATGTACTTGGCAAACCCTGCTGTGAAGCATGCATTTTGTTCAGGCATAAAGAAGTTGATATGATTCATGAGTTATTGCTAAGTGCCATCGAGTTGATTCTGACTCATAGCGACCCAGTGTAGAGCTCATTAGTATTATACATTGAAAAGGACAAAGTAACAGAGTGAGGCAGTTGAATTATTACATTATGGCACTTGAGCACAGTAACAGGAGGCAAAATTACGAATACTCTCCTGACCTTAGGGCAGATGAAGAAATTCTCCAAACTGCTGTTTTCAACATTAAAACTAAAGTTCAGATTTGCCACTTGTAGTTTCTTATGGAGAAAACCAATCCTTTTCCCCCCCAGTTTGTGAATTAATTTGATTTCCTTCCTTGGAAAGGGTAGGAAAGACAATGCAAAAGGCTTGATGGCAGTAATTATCTTGGGCACATCCACATTGGTGCTTATGAGGGAGAAAGAAAAGCCCTCTTGATGAGGCAGCTGCTCCGACCAGCTGTGATAATCCATCTCATCTAGACGTTAATGATGAGGTATAGTAGAAATCTTTGTATAGTTTAAAAACTTTTGATTATTAAGTCCTAAGATATACAATATATCTAATACACCTTTTTCTACTCGAATTTGGCAGAGATATTGTAGAGACTTACAAAACAAAAAGCATTGATCCTATTAGCTAATGTTTGTAACTCCCTAATCTTAAAAGTGGTCACTATGAGTCAGTTCTGACTTGATGACACCTGACAACAACAATAATCTTAAAAGGAATTTGTGTACCGTATACATTGTACCAACCCTTACAAGAATGGGTTTTACTCGCAGTGGCACACTGACAAGTTGTTAAGTGCGGTGGAGTTGGCTTCAACCTATAGTGACCCTGTATAAAGATTTCGAACTGACCTTGTAGTTCAAACTGACCTTGTAGTCCAATGCATTATCCTGCAGCGCCACACCAGGACTCTAAGACTTGATGAGGGACCTCCCAGATATTAGTTTCTCTTTCATCAGTTCCTACTATAGGGCTCCAAAGCCAAATCCTCGTTCCCCAGACTCCCAGCACTGAGCCCAAGCCCAAGAGGAAGTCTGGTGGAAGTTTGAATTTAGGCTGGCATGACCCCCTTCCCCTGCCCTCTTTCTTGCCTCAAATGTGGATGTGATGGACAGAGCTGGAGCTTGCAGCAGCAATCATGCAGCCAAGAGAAAGAAGCATAAGGTGATCAGACGTAAACATTGGTGCTGTTATTTTGAGCTGTGAAACCATGGGCTACTGTGGACTAAATGCATGTGAGACGGCCCAGTCCCCCTCCCTGGTAATTCTGGAGTCACTTTCCACAGCCATTCTGTTACTTGTAGCAGAAGGCACTTTTCCTAATGTCTCTGTGCTTCAGTGTCAGAATTCAGACGGACCCAAACCACGTGTCATGTAGGCAGCATTTCTACATGACACAGGCGAAACACGCTAAAGAGACTTTGTTTAGCTAGAATGCTAAACATTTGCAATCAAAACACATTTAGTGTGTCTAATTCTGAAAAGTGAGAGGACATTCTTTTTTAAGGAAGCTTTTGGCCTAAAACCATTTGAAACAATTAATAGACTTAAAGTATACAGAAAAAATATTGTTGACTGAAGGGTGTTTGAAAATAATACATCTACTATAATAAAATCAAAGTCATTGTTCAACAAAACCACATAAATACCTGCTCCCAGGCCTTTAGAGCTATCTGCTCAGTTTTACAAAACTGTTCATACTTATGTCATGTTTTTCACTAAACGTAACACCACACTTTTATTTCCCCATTACTAAATGCTTTTTAAAAACAGTGATTTCAGGCATAACATTCAATTGTCTAGTTACACTTGAATTATTTAAGATGTTCCAGGAATGAAGGAACCTTGTTGGTGGGCAATCTGATTTTTCTTTTTCCAGATAAATTTTTCCACAGAAATGGAACTGCTGACCAAAATGATTAACTTAGGGGAAAGCTGTCAGTTGATACTTCCCCTAGAAATGTCTAAGAATGCTCTTTTACCCAAATCTCAATTTCACACAGGGCATTATCACATTTAAAAACCTTTGCTCCTGGTATGGCGCTGCACTTGAATATAAGATCTGTTTGAACTTTAAGGTTGGCGGTTCAAACTCACCTGTCACTCCTCAGAAACCCTATATCGGATTGTTATGGGTCAGAACCGACTCGACCACATTAAACAACACAACAACAATAATTTAAAATAGGTGAATGGACTTGGATAGCTTATCCTTTACAATTGTAAATTTACACATTCTTCCATGGACCTCATCTGTATCATTGTTTTGCAACCACTAAATTACTATTTAAGATGCTCTTGTAGCATAGTGGTTATAGTCTGACTGCTAACCACAAGGTCAGCAGTTCGAAACTACCAGCTGTTCCACGGGAGAAAGATGAGGCTTCCTGCTCCTGTAAAGACTTACATAGCCTTGGAAACCCTATGCAGGGTCGCTATGAATCATAGCCGACTCCACCACCCACCACCACCCACCACCACCAAATTGGACTTTGAACCACAAGGTGGGAAATTCAAGCCCACCAGCTGCTTCTTGGAAACCCTATACAGGGTCACTATGAGTCGGAATCAATTTGGTGGTACTTAACAACAACAACAACACATTACTATTTGCCAAAGTGAATCAAGAATGAAAAAGGACTTCTGGGGCAAGTTGGCAGAGTAGCCAGACGCACTGAGCAGACCCTCTGAAACAAAGACATGGGAGACCAAGTGAAACCAATACAGATGGTGATCCTGGAGCCCTGCGCTTAGGACAGAGAGGTGGAGTGAGTGCCGAGTGGACGAGATGAGCTTCTTCTGATAGCGACTACAGTGGCCTTTGGAGTCCTGGTGTGGCTCTATGGGTTAATGCGCTGGACTGCAAGGTTGGTTTGAACCACAAGGCTGGCAGTTCAAACTCACTAGCTGCTCCTCTGAAACCCTATATAGGTAGGGTCACTATGGATTGAAACTGCCTCTGTAGCACTTAACAACTTAACAACACTTAACCACTTAACAACACTTAACAACAACAGGCATAGGACACAGCTAGAGGTTGAAGGCAAAGGGGATGCGGTTCTTCCTCTATCTGGCAACCTCCTGGGAGCCAGGGGCATGGTCAGTCTCCATCCTCGATACTTCAAGGACCAATGGTACCCTTCCTCTGCAGCCTGGGGCCAGGCGCCAGGCATGGCACCCCTGCTTCTGGAGTCACATGAACCTGCCCTGAACTTGCTACATACACAGTGAACAGAAAACTGTGTTTGCACTTCCGGTCTCTACCATATCTCTACCGGGAGATGGGTGGTGAATGCCTGAGAATACATGGGGAGACGGTTCCGACTCATAGTGACGCGGCATAGGGTTTCCAAGGCTGTAAATCTTTATGGTAGCAGAAAGCCTCATCTTTCTCCCACCGAATGGCTGGTAGTTTCGAACTGCGGACCTTGAGGTTAGCAGGCTGACTCATAACCACTACGCTACCTACCAGAACTCCTACACCAACAGACAATGATCAATTAAATACAAATATGGTGATACCACTATGTTTTTGAGAAAACAGACAATTTTAGCTTACCCAAAGAAACAAGACAGAGTACCTCAAACCAGTGACCAAAATACAGTCAGAAAATACAATACCAGAAATGGTATCAGAACTACTTGATAAGGAATTCAAATGAATGATATTTAGGTACCTTAAACAGATTGAGAGAAAGATTTAGGAAATCAAGGAGAACACACACACACACAAATACACTTCAGAAGAACTCAGGAAAACACTACAAGAAAAAACTGGCAAATTAAAAATTGGAAGCCATACAAAAACAGCAATGAAAAAGTCAGATTAATACTAAGACTTCAGAAATAGGACATTGAAAGGACAAAGTAGAATTGAATCAATGGAAGGTCAAATTACTGAGCTTGAAGACATACTTCGCAATATTCACCTGCTAAAAGAACAATAATAAAAAAAAAAAAATCCAAAGAAAGCCTAAAATGTATGTGGTACACTATCAAGAGGGATAACTTATGTGTGACTGAAATTACAGAAAAGGAAGAGACAAAAAACAAAACAAAAAACAACAACCCATAGGGTAAATTGTCCAAGAAGTGTTGGAAGAAAACTTCCCTAACATCATGAATGAAGTTAAACCATTTAAGAAGTAAAATGAACTCCAAATAGTATAGCCACCACTCCCCCGCCCCCGAATAAAATCACCAAGACATGTTCTAAT